ATGACAGATTCTATTTCCTGTCTTAAATTCTGAATATAAAACCCATCTAATTTCTGTTTAAATAAGTTTTTAAGGAATAATAAATTGTAGCCAGGCATGGTGGCATGCACCTTTAATCCCAGCACTCGCCAGCTCTGGCTACAGGAAGACACTGTCTCATAAAGACCAAAAAAATAAAAATTAAAAAAATAAATTGTAGCCAGGCACTCTGGAGGCAGAAACAAGCTCTGAGTTTGAGGCCAGCCAGAGTAAGACCCTGTTTCAAAGAAGAAGAAATAAAAGGGAAATTTTTAATTCAAAACAATTATGCAGTCTTCTTGGGAACCACATAATAGAGCCAAATGCCAGCAGCAGCCCCAACTAGAATTCCCACACTAATACAAGGAGGAAGTTGACAGCAGCAAGATGGTGCCCCACCCTGTTTTCATACCCAGCCCGTGGCTTATTGGACACTGAGATTAAGGCTGCATTATGTTTCAAAGGACATCATCACTCTTCAGTTTGCTGCTGGATCTCATGTCTGAATTTTCTGCCCTTCTCTACTTCCTGCTCTAATCATTTGCACAAGAAAAGACCCTTCTAAAATAGTTTATCAGAGTCATGACTTTTTAATGAAATCATACATTTTTGATGTGCCCCAAATCATTTAATGAATTTCCTGAAGTGTTTATTATCCACAAGATAGTCTTGCTCATTAGTCGACTCTCTAACACTGAGCTTAAAATTGTGAATTAAAAAACAAAACACTAAAAGTCTAAAGTATTAATTTTCTTCAAATCCGAATAATAGCTTTAGATTACTATTATAAAAATTAGTGGGGCTGGAGAAATGCTCCACAGTTAAGAGCAGTGACTGCTCTTACAGAAAACCCAAGTTCAAGACCTAGCACTCACAGGGCAGCTAACAACCACCTGTAACTCCATTTTCAGGGGGGTCCAACGCCCCCCTCTGTCCTCCACAGGCACTTCACAACACAGGTGTACTTATAGGCATGTAGGCATAACACTCATATACATAAAATAAAAATAAATTTAAAAAGATTGAATTTAGTGCTGGTCATGGTGGGGCACACCTTTAATCCCAGTACTTGGGAGCAGAGGCAAGCGGATCCAAACCAGCCTAATCTACACAGTGAGTTTTAGGCCAGCTGTAGCTACAAGGAGGCTGTGTCTCAAACCAAACTGAAAACTGAAAATTAAATTTGAAAACCAGGCTCATCACAATTATGCTTTTGATTATTAAAGCTACAGTGCTGGGCATTGTGGCATGTAGAGTTCAAGAACTGCCCCTACTGCTAGCCTACTGCAAAGCTAATGTAATTGAATCCTTGTATAATAAACATCACTCTTTTGTGATAGTGGTAATTTGTTCTTTTGGTAAACTTTGTGTTCTACCAGCAGCTATTTATTAAATAGCTACCAGGTGCCAGGCCTGCACTGGATGGTCAGGAAGGCAGTAGCAGTCATCTATGCTGGTGGTCAGAAGTTAGAGAAACCAAGGGAACAGCTCTCAAGATTCCGAGAATGTGAGATGCTGGGGAAATGTCCCCTGGGGAAGTTAGATCTGGCAGAAAAATCCATAGAACAATATGAGGGGTTGTCTTCTGAGATTTGAAGGTCAGAGGAGGGAGTTGCCTGCTTTGCCTAGGAGACCATGGTAGTTGGGTAAAGGAATTGAGACTCAAAAGTGTTGGAGAGTTGACCTTGATGACTAGAATATGTGTGAGTCATTGTGCCTCTGGGGTACAACAGTCTGGCTGGAATGCAGGGGTTTGTGGGAAGGTGGCCAGAGAATGCCATCAGTGAGCACCTGAGTGTGGTTCAGAAATCCACCTCACCATAAAGCAGGTCTCTGTGGCTCCCGTTTCAGAGGTGGAAACTGAAATCTGAAATTTGTTGGGGAACGTGCCACTAAATCACACAGCTCATGGGCAGCAGATGTTTTTGACTCTCTGGGTCAAGTTAGGCTGATACTTGGACCATATCTGATTAGACCCATGGGAGAAATTCCAAGAGTTTAATGCTTAATTTTGTCTTTTAGAAATAGCTGTTAATCATTATACTGAGATAGGAGGTGTGAATGGAATAGGTATGATGGCCCAGGGCCGAAGATAAATGTGGCAAAAGGCTAAAGGAAACCTGTGTGGGAGAGGTGCAGAATGTAGGCCAGCAGCAAAGGCAGTAGCCAAGTGGGCATGGAATGCACAGGTTTGGATGTTTGGGTGAGTGACTGTGTGTGAGAAAGGACTCAGTGTCTTCCAGTTCCCAGCTGGAGTGAGCAGTGCTCACATTTGGGTAGAAGGAATAGGCTGAGGTGGATGTGGGTCAAGAATGGGTTCATGTTGATCCTGTTTGTCCCCTTCTTCCTAGCCATTGACCTCCTTCTCCTTTGTCTAGTCTATGGTGGTCCTAGGCCCTCATCTTCTTCTGTTTTCTTTTGAGGTAACTGACCAGTCCCCATAACTCGAATAACCATCTATAAGTTTCTTCAGCCTTTGTAACAGCAGACTGCAGTATACAGCTTGTCCCTTGACAATTCATCTACTTATTAGCTCACAGGCATCCCACTTACAGAGTCTAGGTCCTGTCTTCCCAGGCACAAACATATTTCTTTCCCTATCCTGCCCATGATCCTACCCACTAGCCATTCAATTGCTCAAGCCAGACTCCAAGGAGCTGTTCTTGAAATATCTCTTTCTATATTGAATTAATAATGTAAACCAGTGGATCCTGCTATCAAAATATGCCTTGACCCATCTCTACCCATCTTTGTGATCTCACTACTTCAGGCTGCCATGATCCCTGAAGCCTTGGCCTTCCCGTCTGTACTTCTGCCCAGCCCCTGCCACGGTGCCTCCTTCATGCTCCCTTCCTGTCTAGCACATCTGTTTGCCTACAGAATCATTCTTAATCTTTACATGTTAAATGACAGTTTCTCAGAGAGAGCTTCAGAGGGTCATTTCTTTCATAGCTTCTTGCTGTTTTCTTTCAATGCATTTCTCACTATTTGTAGTTTAAATACATTGAAGATCTACTTCATTTGTTCACAACACGTGAATTAAGCATGTTAGTCCCAGATGTTATCATGAGAGTGATGTTGCAGTGTTAAGACACAGTAGGCATGTCATCAGAATTTGTAGAAGGCAGAGACACCTTTATGACATCCAGCTGGGGGAGAATGCATAGATCTGGCAACTGGTGCTACATACTCAGGTATATGTAGTTAAAGGCATGAATGGGATCACTTGGCCGAGAACATAGATTGAGAAAAGCAAAGGGCTAACATCTATGCTTACATCTTGCCATCTTTTAGAAGGACTTCACATGAGTTAATTTGATTTTGAGTCCTTAGAGAATGCCAAGATGGATAGGAAAAGTGGGAGAAGTCATCATGGAGCACAAGACTAAGGAGCTAGAAGTAGTGAGGCATTGGAGAAACTGGGGTGTCATTAGAGAAAGCCAGAAGTGAAGAGAGCTTAGAAGGTTGCTGTGAGGATCAATAGGTAAACATACTGGGGTCAAGTAAATCAAGCCCAGGGCAGTGTCCATTGACTGAGCAATAGGCCAGTCACTGCCTAGGCAATACTGGGCTGGAGAGAAACAGGTGGGCTAGAAGCCAGTTGGCCACACACTGGGAAGATAGTCGGAGAGGGTGTCAAGTGGCAAGTGTGCAAACTCCAGAAAGAAGCTGAGCTTGATGAGGCAAGAAAGAGAAGTGTACTGATTAAAATGTTGAGGGAAGTTCATTGTTTATGGGATGCACAGAGGTCGGTGCTGTGTTCTTCTGCAAGTGAAGAGGGAGAGAAGTTGAAGGCACAGAGCATTTGTCCTCAACGGTAGATGATGGACGAGCAGATGATGGGTGAACTCCGGGGCACAAGCCCAGGGAATTAGATACTCGCTCTTGAATTGGTTGCTTTGCAAGGAGTACCTTGTATGCGTGGGGCCTGGGAACTGCATAGCCCTTGCCCTTCCTCCAGCTTCCATTCCAGGTCTGCCTCATAGCTACTTTCATGGATCACAAGTTGTTTGTCTGTATAAATCTCACTGGAAGTCGAGAATCTGCTGAGATCTTGAACATAAAACTTCTCACCCAGGGCCGGGTCCCCACATTCTTTTGTCATGAGAATTAAATGAAAGAAATTAGTTGGTTGTCAGGGTTGAGGAGAGCATTAATAACAACAGGTCAGTTCATATTCTGATTTCCTTTAAAACATTTCAAGAGAGTACATTACATCTTACACAGAAATATGCTGGTGGCTAGAATTCTGTTTATAATCTCATCATTGAAAGTGTTAGGTTGGGTAGATCATGTAAAAATTCCATCTGCTTTCATGATCTGGGAATGTCTGGGGAGGCACAGTCAGTGGTTCTGTCGGAAGAGTTCTTCACATTTTATGGGTTTTGCCCTTTTAATAAGAATTCCTGGCACTTTGAGGAGACAATTGAAGTTTACAGATTGCTCAACATCCAAGTGATGTAATATAGTTTTCCTGCACTTGTCCCTAAAACTCAAATGACTTTTCGTACTGAAAATCTGCTATCTTGGAGATAACTCTGCTCCCTCAACCCTGAGCATCTTCACTTAGTAGATTCGTACAGTCACTTATCTTTATATATATTTGATGGGCCATTTCTTCCTGTGAGACATTGCACAGTATCAGTTTGTGTATCAATAATGCCAAACAGTGATCTTTCCATTTCCCAAATAATGGTGAATCTAACCTTATCGCAGACAATGAGTTACTGAATCTAGTGCAGCAGAAGGCACCTGTAGGTCTGTGTAGTTGGGACTTGTCAAAGCACTGCGATAGCCTGCCATATAAGTGTGTGGCTGTTAGCTCCCCGGCTTGTGTGGTGTCTGGATATGCTGACTGCCTTACCTATATGGCACTGATCATCCGTCCACAAAGCTTGTGCTGCTGCACTATCACTGTGTCTCTTTCCCCTTTGAAAGAGTCACACTTGACTCACACCCGTTTTCTTTTCTCTTTTCACCAGTGGACCGCATTGTGGGTCTGGATCAAGTCACTGGTATGACTGAAACAGCTTTTGGCTCTGCATATAAAACCAAGAAGGGCATGTTTCGTACTGTTGGGCAACTCTACAAAGAGTCTCTCACCAAGCTGATGGCAACTCTCCGAAACACTAACCCGAACTTTGTTCGCTGCATCATTCCAAATCATGAGAAGCGGGTATGTGTGAGGCAAAACATATCCTAATGTTTAAAGTTGACCACACGTTACAGAGATTAAACTAGAAAACTCTTGTTTGCTTGATTAGGCTGGAAAACTGGATCCACATCTTGTGCTAGATCAGCTTCGCTGTAACGGTGTCCTGGAAGGGATCAGGATCTGTCGCCAGGGCTTTCCTAACCGGATAGTCTTCCAGGAATTCAGACAGAGGTATTGCTAACTTCTACCCTTTTTCACATATGTTCAAGCTTACCTTAACATGAATGGAAATGGTGGTGTGAGGAGGAAGCATTTTCCCTTGTTCCCTACGTGGTTTTGTTTCTCCTATAGCAAAGGGACAATCCTGATCATCCTGCTATAAGAAAGGCAGTTTGTAGGAACTGGGTAGATACTGCAGGATGCTCCATCTTCAGATCCTGGGAGTTAGCCATGAGGTGAACAGAACAGAAAGCTGATGGCTTACCATTTCTTTATTCAGACACTTCTACTTGAAATGTGAATTATATTCATTTTTAAAACACAATGAGTCGTGTACATTCCTTTTCAGAAATTTGGAAAATACAAGTGAAATAAAAAGTTATTTAAAATCCTCCAGAAATAATTCCTGAAAACATTTTGGGATGTTTCCATCTTTCTTCCATAAATACATCAGTGTGTGTATGATTTTTTCAATGTGTATGTGTGTGTGTATACACACACTAGTCCTTTAATAGGAATAGAGAAAAGAAGGCTGAGTGTGGTGGTGCACACCTTTAATCCTAGCATTTGGAAGGCAGAGGCAAAATCTCTGAGACTGAGACCAGCCTGGTCTACGTAGTGAGTTCTAAGCCAGCCAGAGCTATAGGGATGCCCTGCCTTGAAAAACCAAAACAACAACAAAAAGAATAGAGGAAAAAATAGATCAGAAAAGGGTTAAGAAAATACAAATGTACCAATTAATCAGTACACAGTAGAAATTGATGTAAACAAGATGGAAAACAGTTTTAGATTTGATTGGGTAATTCTCTACAGTAGTTAATTTCTCCCTTTTTTCTTCTGGAAATCAGATTTCAAAATATTCTCATTGTCGATCCATGAAATAAATAGGAGCCTCCAAGTCAGTGTAGGGCCCTCTGGCCTTTGCTCCACTGTTAGAGACGGAGCCAACCTGATAAGCTGTTACAGTTTTAGGTGTCCTCAGGAAAGACAGTTAGGAGCCCGCTGTCTGCTAAGCACTCTGGTAGATAGTCATTTTTAACTGATAGGAAAAGAGGGCATAATTGGCATCTGGGACACCAGGTTAATAGGTAGCATTTGTCTTTCTGTTCTAGAGTTTCTTTTCTGATGGAAGTGTGACTGTGCAGTGAAGTGCCTGCATTTTAAGTCACAGTTTAGTGGACATAAGTACACCCAGACAAGTGCCCTGCTGAATATCACCCTGTTATCTTCTGGTGTTCCAAATAGAAGCACATAGACATTACTCTGCAGCCTTTTCTGTTATCTGATAAATACCTATAAACTGTGATTCAAAGTACAAAGAACCAGATCCTCTGCTCTTAAAAATGTGAATATTTTGTGGGAAAATGAAGAAAAATGAAAGGCTTTCTAATACCAGCTTCTTTGATTCTCCTCTACCAAAACCTGCTCAGCCTGTACTTTCATCTAAAAGAATTAACCGTGTTTTTACTCCTAATATAAAGAGGCACTAGATCTGCAAAAAGCTTCAGGTCAGCAGCTGCCCATTTCTCTCTTTGCTCTTAATTTGTCTGTTACCTATCATTAGTTCTACCTTTTAATTTTTTTCAGATATGAGATCCTAACTCCTAATGCTATTCCTAAAGGTTTCATGGATGGCAAACAGGCCTGTGAACGAATGGTAAGGCTTATTATTATTAGTTGACAAGCAATCGTGATAATACTATCAATATCATCTTTCCAATAGCGAAAAATAAACAGACTTCTTTCTTTCTTAGATCCGGGCTTTAGAATTGGACCCAAACCTGTATAGAATTGGACAGAGCAAGATATTTTTCCGAGCTGGAGTTTTGGCACACTTAGAAGAAGAAAGAGATTTAAAAATCACTGATATCATCATCTTCTTCCAGGCTGTGTGCAGAGGTTACCTAGCCAGAAAGTAAGTGGGGCCTCCTGGGTCCAGCACCTCTCAAACATGTGTGGGCTGGGCATTGTGTTTGTGTCCAGGATGCAAGAGTATGTGAGGCGTACAGCTCTGTCCTTCTGGAAGATGCAGTCTCATGGTAGTAGCATCCAGATATGGACACATTCTACATAACACACAGAGCACCACAGAAATACGGGCCAACAGTAAAACAGAAGGGTTGTAGTTCTGCTTCAGCAGAGGTCCTGGGAAAGACATCCCTGAGGAAAGTTTACCTTCAGAAAGTCTTCTCATCAACACTGGTGAAAACCTGTTCTTTTTTACTGTCCTTCAGGGCCTTTGCCAAGAAACAGCAACAACTAAGTGCCTTAAAGGTCTTGCAGCGGAACTGTGCCGCCTACCTGAAGTTACGGCACTGGCAGTGGTGGCGAGTCTTCACGAAGGTAGGCTGGGCTGAGGTCTTCCTAAATACCTTTCTGCATGGCAGTCAAGGGAGAACTGGAGTGATAAACTGTTTAACTTGGTCACAGGTGAAGCCTCTTCTGCAAGTGACTCGCCAGGAGGAAGAACTCCAGGCCAAAGATGAGGAGCTGTTGAAGGTGAAAGAAAAGCAGACAAAGGTGGAGGGGGAGCTTGAGGAGATGGAGAGGAAGCACCAACAGGTGTGTGTGTGCACACTGTCCACTCTTGCTGCCCTGGCTTAGTGTGGCTCATCCACCTGCGGATAGCCACTCACACATGAATTACAAATAGCTGAACTGCCATGTCATCTTATTTCATGGGAGGTGTTTGCACTCATTTCAAAATATGCATGTTTTCACAACAGAGTGAACACATACACTAGGCCTTACGTATCCTTCTTATTCTCTGAACACCAGGTGATCGTGTTTGCTATGATACTTGTATCTAACACATGCTGCCACCTTTCCATATCAGCTTGTGAGAGGAAACAGAAGTAGAAGGATGGCATGATTGAGTTCAAAGCCTCACCTCTCTCTTCTCTAGCCACAGGGGTCTTGAGTCAGGATCTCTTTGCAGGCAGTTACTCTTCATGAATGTTTAAAACTTAGACTTAGGAAATGTTTGTGGGTGACTATAATAGAATTATGATGTTGAAGGCCAAAAATATTAACAGTAAGGCCAAGAATATCAGTTAATATTAGATAGGCTTTTATAGTTACCATAAGCTTGTTTTATTTATTTTTTTTATTGTTGGTTTTTTGTGATAGTCTCACTTGGTAGCCCAGGCTGTCCTAGAACTCACTGTGTTGCCTAGGCTAGTCCTCTTGCTTCTGCTTCTCAAATGTTGGGATTACAGGCACACAACTCCTGGAAACTATAACATTTGAATATTTTCCTCTCTGATTAACTGTTCCTTTGTAACTTACATTAATAAACAAACTAGTTCTTCAAGAAGGCAGTAAGAACTTAGTATTTATTATTCAGAGTGACCTGAGGCAAAAAGAACAACCAGAAGTGCTTTGATGTAGTTATGAAACTTGAAATATGAAAACATGTTGAAAGTTTTACCACTTCATACTTTTAACCTGTTGTTTCTGGGGAGATGGGCGCTGACCACCAATCATGGAGAATCCATGTGGGAGGTGCACTGGGGGCACGTAAGTTCATTTTTCTAGACCCTGTGTTGTACTTGCAGCTTTTGGAAGAGAAGAATATCCTTGCTGAACAACTGCAAGCTGAGACTGAGCTCTTTGCCGAAGCAGAAGAGATGAGAGCAAGACTCGCTGCCAAAAAGCAGGAACTGGAGGAGATTCTCCATGACCTGGAGTCTAGGGTAGAGGAAGAAGAAGAGAGAAACCAGATCCTCCAGAATGAAAAGAAAAAAATGCAAGCTCATATTCAGGTACATGTGATAGTTCTTAGAATTGTATTTTGGATATGTTCAGTGTATGGAATTCTTGTGTCCATTGAGAAGCAAAAGATTCTGAATCAATCAGTCCTTCATTTGAATCATAGGTAGAACAACAAGTTTTCTGCAGACTCAGGTTTATTATTTCAAATAGGAATCCTTCTGTGTTCTAATGTGGCTTTTTTGGGTCTTACTGAGTCAGGGTCTCCCTGTAGCCCCAGTTGGCCTGGAACTCACTATATAGACCAGGCTTGCCTCAAACTCACAGAGATCCGCCTGCCTCCGCCTATCGAGTGCTGGGACGAAAGGCATGTGCTACCATGCCCAGCTCCTTAATGTGGCATCCTACAGTGTGCAGATCTTGAAAATCGGAAACCTCCCAGTGTTTGTAGCATTCTGTAGAGATTAGAGCTGCTGCTCTTTGTTGTCATTAATAAGTCTGTCACTCCACTGATGACAAAGGCATCTCCTAACTGGCTTGAATCATGCACTGACGAGGACAGTCACCTCTTCCCTTATACCTTAGAATATAAGCTGTGGTCACACAAAGCACAACTGTATATTATTTCCTTAGCAAACACCCTGTACAGTAAATCAGCCAGATACTTTTCTTCTGTGCATCAAGGCAATTTTCAAATATTCCATAAGTTAGCAGAATGTCAGAAAAGTTGTAAAAAAGTATATACTCTTTAGTCTAGCAACTTTAATCTAGGACTTTATGTAAAAGATAAATCAGTTATTCACCAATAGGGGATTGTTGGACTTACTAACACTGTTCAGGTATTAGTAAAAAGATACTTGTTTCCATTGGTATTCATAATATGTTAATAAAGACAGTTGCAAAAAGAGTGTATCTCAAGCCGGGCGTGGTAGCACACTCCTTTAGTTCCAGTACTCAGGAGGCAGAGGCAGGCGGATCCCTGTGAATTTGAGACTAGCCTGGTCTCCATAGTGAATCCAGGCCAACTGTGGCCACAGGGAGACCCTGTCCCAAAAGAGATTTAGCCTTGGAATGAATTTTTCTGGATGAAACTGTGTGTTTTGACAACGAAGTGGAGATCTTTTTTAAACGTTGGAACCTCATTTAATTTTATGTCTTATAGAGTTTATAATGAGTAAAAGATTATATAAGCGTAATAATTCATCTGTAAACCTAGAAATGTACAGCCAATTTTGAAAGAGATGTACCCTAGCTCAGAAAAATGTTATTGAATAGGTTAATGCTGTTGTAATGAAATGCTTCTTTTTTTAATTAAAAAAATAAAAAAAAATAATGAATAAAACATTAAAAAAAGAACAAGTAGCCTCAGATTTAAAAAAAGCATATCTCATAAAAACTACATATAGCTTATAGTTTTTTAAATTTTTGTTTATTCGCATTGTGTGTGTACACATGGTTTGTGTGTTGTCGCAGGTGCCAAGGCACTTGTGCTGAGGCCAGGGGACAAATTTGTGCAGTCAGTTCTCTACTTACACCTTTACATGGGTTCTGGGGATTAGATTCAGGTCACCAGGCTTATGCAGCAAGAGACTTTATCCTTTGAGCCATCTCACCAGCTCTATAACTTGGAAATGTGAATGAATGATTTTATATGGAAATATCTGAAAGATACAGATTAGTGTACACCTGCCATAATGAGTTGTTCTGATGGTATTACCAATGGTTCTGCTTTTATTTTCTCTTTAAGAGGAAGACGCCTACTGAGCTCCAATCTCCCTATTATTTTTTTTTTCATATTTTATTTTTATTTATTTTTGTTGTTGTTCTTTTTGAGACAGGGTCTCCCCGTAGCCCCAGCTGTCCTGGAACTCACTATGTAGACCAGGCTGGCCTTGAACTCACAAAAATCCACCTGCCTCTGCCTCCCAAATGCTGGGATTAAAGGCATGCACCACCACACCCAGCCTTATTATTTTTATTTTATGTGTATGCATGTATTGCCTGAATGTAGGTAAGTGCATCCTTGTCATGCAATGCCGGTGGAGGACAGAAGAGGCTGTCAGATCCCCTGGGACTGGAGTTAGGACAGTTGTTAGGTACCGGGATTCAAGCCCGGGTCTTCTGCAAGAACAACCAGTGTTCTCCCTTTTACTTATGTATGTGCACACACACATGCCATGTCACACACATGTGAAGGTCAGAGGACAACTTTCATGAGTCAATTCTCTCCTTCCACTATGTGAATCCAGGGGATCAAACTCAGGTCATCAAGTTTGGCAGCAAGTACCTTTACCTTGCTGAGCCAGTTCACTAGTTCTTTCCCTATTTTTTAGCCCCAAATTATAACAACTTTAAATGTCTAGGTTTTTGCATTGTTATCTTAATTTATGATCTCCTTTTGTGACATGGAAATTCATTCAAATGCATTCCAAACTCATTTATGGCATTATAAAATTACTATGTATTGGAGTTTCTCTCTTGTGAAATGTCAGAGATTTCCAATTGACTGCATGGTTCTGGGAATACCTTATTGTGATATACCCCCTTTTTTTTTTTTTTTTTTTTTTTTTTTTTTTTTAGTCTCTCTATAGTACCTGCTGGCCTGGAACTCAATATTGTAAACCAGGCTATCCTTGATCTCACAGATACCTGCCTGCCTCAGCCTCCCAAGTGCTGGCATTAAAGTCCTGAACCATCATGCCCAGCTTCTGGTCACCTTTTAAAAAGTATTTATTTATATTTTATGTATATGAGTATTTTACCTGCATGTAATAAGTGCACTGGTAATGTCCAATGTCCATGGAGGCCAGAAGAGGGTGTAGGATCCCCCGAAACTGGAGTTATAGGTAGTGCTAGGAACCAAATCCAGGTCCTCCGCAAGAGCAGACTGTGCTCTTAACCACTGAGCTCTTTGATCTCTCCAGCCCTTTGATCGCCTTCTTTAGCCAGAACTTTTAGAACTATCTTTTGGTTTGGTTTTAAAAATTAATTTCTTGACTTTAGTATTAACAATTAATTATTGTAGAAAGCTCTACAAAACAGCACTTGACGGTCCCTTTACCTATTACTATTACTGTTTTTCTTGCATTACTTGAAAAAATGTACAAATTTGTTTATTTGTTGAAATTATACTGAACATAGTGCTGTGCTACCTTTGGTCATCCTGTGAGTGTGCAGTGCAGGAATTCAGTTAACAAAATCTAAAGTGGAAACTAGGGGCTCATGACCTGGAGAGAAAGAAAGACAAAGCAACCTAGAGGTGAAGGAATCTTAGGATCACAGCCTGTGAGATCTCTTTAGATTCTAATTCAAGCTAGCATTTATTAAATGACCTATTTTTATGTAGAGATGTAACCTGAAGGTTTTTCAAATGAATAATGTTTGGGATTTGCTATAGACCAAGCCACAGGAGGAGGGATGAGGGTAGAAGTCTTGAAAGAGAATGACCCTGAGTTGGTTGTTGTTACAAGTAGGGCGGTGCCTATGTTGAGGCTCTTGTTATTCTGTGTCCATAAGTGTGGCTCGAGTTTTGTTTTTGTTTCTGGGGGTCTTTTTTATCTTTTTGAGACAGCGTCTCCCTGTACCCCTAGCTGACTTGGAACTCACTATGTAGACCAGCCTGGCCTCAAACTCACAGAGATCCACCTGCCTCTGCCTTCCAAGTGCTGGGATTAAAGGCATGCACCACCACACCCAGCCCATTGCTTGATTTTTTTTTTTTTTTTTTTTTTAACCATGCAGTTTGTCTTTACACCTTACCAAGAATTAACCATGAGTAAATTATTTAGGCAAAGTTACTCTTGAAAGTCTGTTAAACCAGCCATACACTGATTTATGTATAACCCTGCAGGCTGCTCTGGCTTCTTCCATGCTGAACAGGGACGCAGGGTGAGGGAATTGGAGTACCCCTTCAGTGGGTCTATCTAAAAGACTCCCAAATTGCATAACTCTTATCTCTAAGGGGAAAAGAAATTTAAATAATGAATAGGAGATGTGAAGGAGAAGTAAAGGCAAGAGTAATTAGCATTATAAGTTCTAGACAGGGAACAAGAAGAAAGTCAGAACAGGGCATTCTTTAAATGTTCATATGAGACTCCATTGGAGTTTCTTGAAAGGGCTCCCAAAAGCATCCCTCTATTGGGTTCTTCCTCATTTTTCTTTTGTCTTCCAAGGCTGGATTCTAGAGTGATGGATTCAGGTATTTTGATAGCTGTTGGAGTAGCTAGAATCAGTGTCAGTTCCCTCTCAAAAGCTTCACCACACGGAGGCAGGATCCAGGGGCTCTCAGGCAGTCCCCTAGGTTCTCAGGCCCTCTGCTAGATGGAGGCCAGAACTCGGCACTCTCTGGCGGTCTGCTGAGATCCCATATTATGCCATTTAAAAAAAAAATTTTATTATTTTATGTGTATGAGTGTGTTGCCTGCATATATGTGAGTGCACCTGCATTGTGCAGTGCTGTGGAGGTCAGAAAAGAGCTTCGGATTCCCCTGGAACTGGAGTTAAGGAGAGTTCATAGCTGCCATATGGGTGCTGGGAATCAAACCTGGGTCCTCTGCAAGAACAGTCAGTGCTCTTAACTGCTGAGCCATCTCTCCAGCCCCTTTATGTTTGTTTGTTTGTTTGTTTGTTTGTTTTCCCCATATTATTCCATTTTAACCTTAACTTCCAAAACCTTTTTGTAGTGTGTTCATAAGAAGTTTCTCAGTTTTACAAGCAGCACTATGTATGTTTTTTGTTCAGTGGTGTTACATTGCCCAGGCTGGCTTGGAATTCAAGATCTTCCTTGCCTCAGCCTCTTGAGTACTGGGATTAGTGTCATGTGCCACCATGCCCAGCTCACTGTGTGTCTTCTTATACAAGTCATCCATAACCATGTCCTGAAATAGGATTTGAAAGTTTGTTTTCAAAGCTTGCTGCACTTTCTATGCCAGCCCAAATGACCCAGTTCGTACATTGCTTGTCTCATCCTCTCAGTGGCAGTCAAATACACCATGAATGTCGCTTTTCCTGTGCTCTCTCAATATGTGGTGGAGTCTGGTGGTGAGAGTGGGAGGACTGACATGGGCTCTTCTTCACCAGGACCTGGAAGAGCAACTGGACGAGGAAGAAGGAGCACGGCAAAAGCTGCAGCTGGAAAAGGTGACAGCAGAGGCTAAAATCAAGAAGATGGAAGAGGAGATTCTGCTTCTGGAAGACCAGAATTCCAAATTTATCAAAGTAAGACCCTCCTCATAAGGTGCCAGAGTTTATTTGTATTTTATGTATATGAGTGTTTTGCCTACATGTATGTGAGTACACCTTTGTCATGAAATGCCTACAGAGGCCAGAGAGGGCATTGGATCCCCTGAAACTGGAATTATGGACAGTTGTTAGCTGCCATGTAGGTGCTGGGCATCAAACCCAGGTCCTCTGCAAGAGCATTCAGTGCTCTTCTCTTAACTGCTGAGCCATCTCTCCAGCCCTACTGTTTAGCGCTTTAAATCCACTAAATAGCTTTATAATCCTCTGGTCTTCTGCATTGTTCCCATCTATGTGTGTTCTAGTCTAGTTCATGCTGGTGTGGGGCTCTGCACATGGGGTGAGCACCAGGCAGGCAGCTGGCTGCCCTGTGAAGGCACCCCCACTGGGAGCAGGGTAAGGATTACCCACTCTTTCTCACATCACAGAAAGTTGACTGTTCTGAGTAATCCCAAACCCAGGCTGTTATTTTGCATGCCTTTTCTAAAGTAGTCAGATTTTTTTCTACTTAGGAAAAGAAACTCATGGAAGATCGCATTGCTGAGTGTTCCTCTCAGCTGGCTGAAGAGGAAGAAAAAGCAAAAAACTTGGCCAAAATCAGGAATAAGCAAGAAGTGATGATCTCGGATTTAGAAGGTTAGTGTCTAGAACCAGAGAAACCCAGGACAAGGACGTGTGAGGTTGTACTAGAATCACAACATGCAGTCAGAGAAAGGGTACGTGGTGACTGTTGATGATGAGGGCCTTCAGTTTAAGTTCCTTGTTAAAATAGATCTCTTACAGGACATTTTGTTTTCATTAATCATTTAGTATATGATGGGAAAGCATTAAGATGGTCTTTTTTTTTCCTAAGCTTGGTACTATGGTAACAGACATTGTCTTCTGATGGACTTGGTTGGGACAGACATTAAGTTTGAATTCTATTATAGACCATGGATAGTCTGGGTGTTTGATCTAAAGACTACATGGCAGTGCCTATGTGACAACTCACAAAGGGATTGGCTACTGGCAGAACCGCTGGCAGGACAGAGGTGAAATTTCTGAGAGTGACATGCCAGTACCTCTGATGGCAGAAGTGCTGTCAGGGTTAGGACTGCTGCAGAAAAAAGTAGATGGCATCTGTAAGGAGTGGGTAAACCTCCCCTTGGTCCAGTGCCTACTGACTGGTCTCAGGCCCCTATTGGGATGTACACACTGGGTTTCCTTCTTTCCTTTTGTAAAAAAGTTTTTGTTTGTTTGTTTGTTTTTTTGTTTTTGTCTTTTTGAGGACAGGGTCTCCTTGTAGCCCCAGCTGTCATAGAACTCACTGTGTAGACCAGGCTGGCCTTGAACTCACAGAGATCCTCCTACCTCTGCCTCCCAAGTGCTGGGATTAAAGGCGTATGCCACCACGCCCGGCTGTTATTTTTACTTTATATATATGAATGCTTGCAAGTATGTAAGCACGCCCATGTTGTGCAATGTTCATGGAGGTCAGAAGAGGGCATCAGATCCCCTGAAACTGGAGTTATATATGATTGTTAGTCGCCATGTTGATGCTGGGAATCAAACCTGGGTCGTCTGCAAGAGCAGTCAGTGCTCTTAACTGCTGGCTTTCTTAATGCATACAGTTTTTTGTTTTTTTGTTTTTTTCAAAAAAACTTGGCTGGCCTTGGTGGCCCACACCTTTAATTCCAGTACTTGAACACATGAGCACAGGTGGATCTCTATAAGATCCAGGCCTGCCTGGTCTCCATAGCAAATCCAGGCCAGCTGTGGATACAGGAACACCCCTGTCTCAAAAAGACCAAAAAAAAAACCACTTGGCTTTTTTTTTTTTTTTGAGAATTTTTGTTTATTTGATTGGTATAGATAAAAGACGAATGTCAGTATGAACTTACTTTCATAAACAGCTTTGCTAGCTTGTGAGTTGTCTTCTAAAGAGTACCCATGAGGACATGTGCCTCATCCTCTTAGCAGATGGACTCCTGCTAAAGAACTCAGGGCACACCATTGTGAGCAAATCATGGCAACAGAACTGGTCCCCAGGCTTTCCTAAGGGACTATAGCAGGGATGATGGGAAGACAGTGGCCTCTGCTCTCACCAGTGCTTCTTGGTTCAAGCCAGTGTTTCTTGGTTCTAGCCTAGGTGGCTAGAGTCAGGCAGTGACTAACGCAGCCCTCCCCTGCTAAGTCCCTTCCAGATCTGGGTGCAGTGAGGGTGTAAGAAAGTTCCAGAACTTCTTGTCTTTTACAGTATGGGCTCACTTCCCAAAAGGAGACATCTTTAGATACTACCCAGTTTCCCCTTTAAAATTTCATCCTCACGTTCATCTCAATCCATTCCATCTTGGTAGGTCTTAAATAACTAAGCATTTGACACAGAGCTATCATGCGTTAGCACAAAATTTTGTATTCTTACCTTTCATCAGTTAGACCCCATTCATACAGTGTATTCTTCAGTGTGTTGAAGAGCTCTTCTTGCCTTACAGAACGTTTGAAGAAGGAAGAAAAGACTCGGCAGGAACTGGAAAAGGCCAAACGGAAACTGGATGGTGAAACAACTGACCTACAGGACCAGATTGCCGAGCTCCAGGCTCAGGTTGATGAGCTCAAGATCCAGCTGACCAAGAAGGAGGAGGAACTGCAGGGTGCACTGGCCAGGTCTGTGGTGCCAGCACACTCTGGGCAGAGCTGCCTTGTGTTCCTGCAGTGTGGCTCATGTCTAGGAGCTTAGGGAGGCCCCTGGGAAGTCGACATGTATTTTCCTTGCTGTTGGTTATGACTTAAGTTCATGAAAAACTCAGCAATACATAATTTGTGTCAGGGCAGCAAGATCTCATAAACTATTCTCAATATTTATACTTAAAAATGATTAGTCACATCATGAAATCATGGGGAATTCCCACCAGAGCAAGCTGTTTTACCACGTCAGATATTTTGTTCTCTTTATATTACAGATTAGCCTCAATGTGTTTTGGAACTTTAGAGGAAATAACTTTTCAGAAATATTTCTTATTTTGTGATCTGATATTTAGTTCAAAGCAATTTGGAATATTGAAACCATTTAGAATATTTCTATTATCTCATTTCTTTTTAAATAGTAACAACTTGGCTACATGGTCATAGAACTTGAAGTTAAATTTACATGTTATAATTAAGAACATCTTATAATAGGGCTGGGCGTATATTTTCCTACCATGCACAAAGCCCTGGGTTTGATCCCCAGCACTGCATGATGGTGCATGCCTATACTCCCAGGAGACCGAGACAGGAGGATCAGAAGTTCAAGGTCATCCTTGCTACATGGCAAGTTCAAGGCCAGCCTGGGCTACAGGAGACCCTATGTCAAATTTAAAAGGAGAAGAACATGACAGGACTCCTTCCCCCACTCACTCTTACCACTGTTAGTCCAGCCAGATCAGCTACTTTTTATTTTTAACCTGGGAACAAGCCTTTTCATTTGTAAGATTCTAGAATCAAATCCTTTACCACTTGTTTCTCTTAACACGTAGCTCAAATGTCCCACCTGTTCCCCAGCAGAAAACCCTCCCAACATTTAAAAGATGCATGTAAGTGAAGAGATGCCCCGGGTAATAAAAGGTGGGAATGTAGCAGGCCTTGGATCTGCAGGTTTGCTCCAGCTGGTGGAGTGTTCTGACTGCACTGTTCCACTGAAGAGAACATTTTAAAAAAAATTTTTTTTAATTTAATATTTTTATTTTATGTGTGTGGATTGCCTGCATGTAGGTAAGTACACCAATGTCATGCAATGCCCACAGAGGACAGAAGAGTCTGTCGGATCCCCCGGAACTGGAGTTATGGACAGTTGTTAGCTGCCATGTGGGTGCTGGGATTCAAACCCAGGTCTTCTGCAAGAACAACCAGTGTTTTTGACCCCTGAGCCATCTCTCCAGCCCTGAAGAGAACTTTTTTTTTTTTTTTTTTTTTTTTTGAGACAGGGCATCCCTGTAGACCCAGCTGGCCTGAAACTCACTATGTAGACCAGGCTGGTCTTGAACTCACAGAGA